CTCCCGTTCTCCTTGATTGGTAAACTTGGTCTTGGCTGGCTGTTCATGCTGATCTTCTGGGGGAGGGGCCTGTTGCTGTGGTTCCCAAATGTCTTTGCTGGAGGCGGAATTGCCCCGCCCTTGTCGGTCCGGGCTAAGCAATCTGCTCGGGTTTGCTCCGGGAGCTTTTGTTCCCTGCAAGCTTTCCGTACAACTTTGGAGGATGAGAGTGAAAATGGTGGCCTCCCAATCTCTGTCCCAGAGGAGCCCAGAACTCGGGGGCCCCACTTCTCAATGAGCCCCCAGAGAAAAGCAGTCAATCACTCCCGTCTCCTTGGTCTCCGGCCACACTCCGTGCTCACCCGGCCTGTGACCGAGCGTTTCTATCTCTGGCACCCGACCCCGTGTGGAGTCTCCAAACCCAGCAGATCCCTGCGGTGCGCTCCTGCGCCGCTCCTCCCGGAGGAGGAAGGGGAGTCTCCCTGGATCTGCTGCTTGTTGGGTTCCTGCTGGAGGAGCAGTGGCCCAACTGTGTTGCTGATCACAGTTTATGGCAACCCAAGATGAGAGCCCGTGCCTCGGCTCCATCTCTGCAGCCGGCTTCCCCGCTCTGATACCTGGGAGCTCTGCTGCACTCAGGCACCCCCGATCTTTCTGTGACCCCGACGGTCCTGAGACCACACTGTCCCATGAGGGTTCCACCCTCCGCTTAGCCGCTGGAGCGACGTCTCTCAGCGGAGCCGACTTCTAAAAGTTCCGATTTTGTGCTCCGTGGCTCTATCACTTGCCAGAAGCAGCTGACGGAGGCCCCCTCCCTGCTGTCTATCCTCCCGAATATCTCCTCGGATTCACTTCTCTGCACGTCCTACCTTCCAGTAAGTGGTCGCTTTTCTGTTCAGAGAGTTGTTGCTATTCATTTCTTCGATCTTCTGTTGAGTTCGTAGGTGTTCAGAATGGTTTGATCCCTATTCAGCTGAATTCCTGAGACCAGACGAAATTCAGGCCTCCTACCCCTCCGCCATCTTGCTCTGTCCCCCGACCCTTTCATTTTCTTTTAATAATCTTTTTCAAATCTTTCATACTCGGCTACAGTGAACTGGTTTTTCCAATCTCCTGAAATACCTGAAAAGAAAGATAAAATGGTACATTTGAGACTACTACAAAATTTCCTTCTTAAATCAGTTTTCATTTGAATTTCCACACGTGTATTCTTAAACCTTTAACTTTTTCATATCTGCTTCATAACTCCATTCCTCACTCCCAAACTCTTGTGTGCACTGCCAGTTTACTGACTAGGAAAACCGGGAAAAGTTCCTAGTCAGTAAACTTGTTGATTACTTTCTTGTTGCTGTTTAAGATCATTAACATATAAACTATAATAGAAGACTTATTAGTTTTCCAAAAAATCCCATGGATTTTTCCAGTATCTTATATAAAGAAGTAATCCCTTCAATATTTCAAGAAATGTCACTGGGAGAAAATCCAATGTCTCAAAATCTTTATTCTTTGCCCTCAAGAGCTTTGTAAACAAAAAATAATTTTTCATTCCTTTTAAAACTATATTTTTCAATGTCAAGTGATAATTTATGAAAAAAATTTCTATGATCAAGTAAGATTTGGAAATGACTGGGTTAAATGTAATTGAACATATGTATTATCACAGGATTTCTCAATTTTCCAAAGACTAACCATATCTTAAGACCTTGAAGGAAAGACAGATATATTCATATATCCCCTTGCAAAGAATATCTAATAAAAACAATGCCATTTCTCACAGGTAATCCAGAAGTCATTTGCAAGCCAAGGTTTAGGTGGAAAAAAAAAAGAGCCCGGAAGAAAACATGCCAAAATAACTTTGTTAATCTGTCCCAGGATTTCCCAACTTTGGCATGTTATTTTATTTGTTTATATTTCCACTGTTGACATTCAAAGCCAGACCATTGGCTGGGCAGATGTGAGATTGTCCTGTGTATTATTGTGTGTTTAGCAGCATCCTCGGCCTGTACAGATTAGATGCCTCTAGCATACCCCTAGTCATGACTCTCAAAAATGTCTTTGGATGTTGCCAAACATTGTCTGGGAGGCAAAATCATTCCTGGTTGAGATCCAGATATTCCTAGAAAGACTTATCCATGGCCTACTTTCTAACTTTCTAAAAAAAAAAAAATCTCTGGGATGCACAAAGGCACATTATAATTAATGAAATTATCCTTAACAGTCCCTATATAAGCTGACCCAAATACTTGTTTCTCCAAAACTGTCTTAGTTTATATTAATAATTATTCACTCTCTACTCTAAGATTTTACTCCACTGCCCACTGCCTGTGTTGTGTGATTCCTCTTTGCCTCATTAACTTAGGGCTTGGATTTTGGATATGCTAATGGAATTTGAATATGGGTAATATATACCACATCTAAACAGAAACTTTAAAGACATTGTAAGTTTCCAGCACCTCTCTTGCTCTTCCTGTCTATTATGATATTGGGCATATCCCACAAGTGGGTAGCTCTTTCAGCCTATGTTTCATAAAAAGAAGACATAAGAGGCTGAGACCATGAAAGTCAAAGTAAAACTGATCAGAATCAAAAAGAGTAAAAGTAAAACTGCAGCAGCCACTGGTGGCCAACATTCAGCAACATTAAACAAAAAATAAAACTTGTGGTTTTAAGCCACTGAGATGCTTGGAGTTATGGGGTTTTTTTTTTTTAAGATTTTATTTATTTGAGTGAGAGAGAGAATGAGAAAGCACAAGCATGGGGAGGGTCAGAGGGAGAGGGAGAAGCAGACTCCCCACCAAGCCAAAAGCCCATGATCTTGGGATCATGACCTGGGGGCTGAAGACAGACGCTTAACTGACTGAGCCACACAGGCGCCCCTTGGAGTTGTTTGTTTCATAGCAAAACTCATACATACACAACTAACAGAATCTCTCCTTCTCGTTCTTTCTCTCTCTTTTTCTCTCTCTTTCTTACATACACACAATTCAATTCAACACATCTTTATTAAGGGACTAATTTTTGCAAGATGCTAGCTATTACATTGAGATAAATGTTGAGGATGCAGTGATTTACCATATCATAACAACAACCTCAAGGAATTGACACTTTTCATTATTCATTTGGTATGCTTAACATCATTTAAGCTGGCTACCCACTACAGCAAAAATTTAAAGGAATATGAAGAATATCTAGAGAGTTCAGACAAATGAAAGACATTCTTCTGATACAGCAAAAGATGCCAAGACTCATGCTTATCAATGTATAGGCTCTTGAGTAAACATTTTTCATTAGAAGTTTTGTCTTACATGTCAGGCTTACAGAAATTATAATTTATTTGTCACAAATTATTTCCCCTAAAGTTTTTTGTTGTTGTTGTTCCTATTTTTTTTCTTGCCAGCATACTCAGTCTCTTTCCATTTCCTATAATATTGCTGTTTGCTTCCCAACTACACTCTCCATGACTGTAATTAGCAAACTATATAGAAACTAGTATATGATTTCTCACCCTTTCTCATGATGGGAGATACAGAATGATCCATATCAAAATCTGCTACAGTGATATAATTTGTACTTGGATTCTGCTTCATCACATTGAAAGAGCTATGACAGAGGATTTTATCCATAGTTTCTTCTGACAGATCTTTGTCTAGAAACTTTAACAACTTCTGAATTTCATGCTTTGGATCCTAAAAAAATTACAAACAAAAAGAATTATTTCAGGTAGATTTAGTCATGAAATAGGCAATGCATTTAATAAGGTTCTACATATGTCAATGTGGTGAAAGAAATGATTTTATATTTTTATGTGCATTTTTCATTTTGCTTTTCAAAGTACATGTCCTATTTTTTTTTATTTTTTTTATTTTTTTTTAAGATTTTATTTATTTATTTGAGAGAGAGAGAATGGGAGATAGAGAGCACGAGAGGGAAGAGGGTCAGAGGGAGAAGCAGACTCCCTGCCGAGCAGGGAGCCCGATGTGGGACTCGATCCCAGGACTCCAGGATCATGACCTGAGCCGAAGGCAGTCGCTTAACCAACTGAGCCACCCAGGCGCCCTACATGTCCTATTTTTGGCCAGGCAACCATCTGCTAAAAGGAAGAGTAAATTTTGTCTGTTTTCAAATTTTTATTTAAATTCTAGTTAGTTAACATATAATGTAATATTGGTTTCAGGAGTAGAATTTAGCGATGCATCTCTTACATATAATACCCAGTGCTCATCATAGCAAGTGCCCTCCTTACGACCCATAATTTTGTTTAAAAAAAATGCAAAAAAAAGTGTTGATATTCAACCTTTCACACTCAAAAATAGAATTAACCTGTAGAATAACAAATGATAATAAAGCAACCTACTATTATCATAAGGTATAATTTTCAAAATCCTTTAGCTTCTTTTTTTTTTTAAGATTTTATTTATTTATTTGACAGAGAGAGACATAGTGAGAGAAGGAACACAAGCAGAGGGACTGGTAGAGGGAGAAGCAGGCTTCCGGCAGAGCAGGGAGTCCAATGTGGGGCTCAATCCCAGGACCCTGGGATCATGACCTGAGCCAAAAGCAGATGCTTAATGACTGAGCCACCCAGGTGCTCCCTTGACTTCCATTTTTAAATCATACTTAATATAAAGAATAGATTACCTACCAAATGTGTTTTAAAGATTTTATTTATTTGAGAGAGAGAGAGATAGTGAGAGAGAACATGAATGGAGTGGGGAGAGGTGCAGAGGGAGAGGGAGAAGCAAGCTCCCTGCTGAGCAGGGAGTTAGATGCAGAGCTCAATCCCAGCACCCCAGGATCATGACCTGAGTGGAAGGCAGATGCCACGCAGGCAATCCTACCTACCAAACATTTAAAGAAGAATTAATACCCATTCCCATTCTTCTCAAACTCTTCCAAGAAGTAGAAGAGGGAATAACAATTCCAAACCCATTTTACAAGGCTAGCATCATCCAAATGCCAAAACCAGATAAGAACAACACAAGAAAGTAACATGCTAACATCTCTGATGAACATCAATGCAAAAATCCTGAATGAAATATTAGCAAACAAAATTCAACAGCACATTAAAAGGTTTGTATACCATGATCAAATGGGATTTATTCCAGTGATACAAAAGTGGTTCAATATCAGCAAATCAACCAATGTGATATACCACATTAACAAAATGAAGGATGAAAATCATATGATCATTTCAAAAGATGCAGAAAAAGCCTTTGAAAAAATTCAACATCTCTTTATGATAAAAACTCTTAAAGTGGGTATGGAGGGAACATACCACAACAGTAGGCCATATATGACAAGCCCACAGCTAATATACTCAATGATGAAAAGCTGAAAGCTTTTCCTCTAAGATCAAGAACTATAGTCAACAATAACTATAGTTAACAATACTGCATTGTATATTTGAAAGTTGCTAAGAGTAGATCTTAAAAGTTCTCATCACAAGAAAAAAAATAACTATGTGTGGTGATGGATATCAGCTAGACTTACTGTGATCCTTTCATAAAATATACATATATTGAATCATTATATTGTTAATATTGTGTTATATGTCAATTATGTCACAATAAAAAAAAAAAGAACAGATTACCTATTCCCTAGAGCTATAGTGGAAAGAAGATACTCTTTGTACCTCTCACTCCTACATAGATTTTTTTGATAGTATGAATATATGAGGAGAAAAGTAAATAAAATCCTGTCCATTTCCAGCCTAAGGAATGGTGGAGAAGAGAAAGAGGCAATGATGAAGAGGAGATATATTTGATGTATTTCTTATGATTTCACTTCTCTATGCTTCAGACTCCATAGGATAGCATATAAGAACAGTGAAAGAGTAGCACTCAGGCCAAATAGTTTGTGCCCTGTTACCCATTGGAGAGTTGATCTTGGTGGTCCAAACCAAACTGAGGCTGAGAGCCATAATGTTAGTGACATGGTGAGATCAGGCAGAAAGGTGATCTGTTTAGCTTTATTGAGCTACCCATCTCAATCATGGAAACAGAACCAGAGAGTCTTTGTAGTGGCTCTAAAAGAATCTGTTTATTATAGAAACAGTAATGAACTTGGTGGAAATCAGACACACATCTTAATTATTCAAGGGAAAGAATCACAATGAAGTCCCAGTTGTGTCAGGTATATCCTGTGAAAGTTAAATGGAAGAGTGATGGGGAAAAGGTACACTGCTCAGGCTTGGAATGGGAATATTTGGGGTGGATTTGATGGCACAGAGACTCTAGAACCCTTGGGTAATTTTCAGCCTTTTCTACCAGCAGATGTAGAGTCTCCTCCCATATTTGAGGAGGCTAAACTTCTTTTGCTTAAAGACCTTATTATACCTAAGGTGGGTAGTTTTCTTTCCAGGTAACACCTATCCTCTTCAAGATCCACCCCAACCCCTACTTGTTGCTTCTAGACACAAAATTAGGGTAATATGTCACCCCTTAATCCAGAGTGACAGGTAAAAAGTGGTTTAAATAGGATGTAGAAGAAGCTGGGAATTTAACTAATGAATCTGCCAGAGGGGGTCACCTTAGCTGGGTAAGGCAGTTTCCCTAGAGGCTATAGAACAGATTTCCCAAATAAGAGATGAAGGGTAGTCATAGTTATCTAAAGGAATTTGGGTGTGGACAAGCTTTCTGAAACACATACAATTTAAGAGATGTGAAACATTTCTTAAGTGGACTATTTAAATAATCAGATCAGGATAAGTTTTTGATCAAATTGGAGAGTGAATTAATTTTCATGCTAATAACCAGATAGAAGATGAAAAAATAAAAACTAGATGTTCTATAAATTAAATAACATGTTTTCCCCACTGTGCTGGCCCCTTGGGGAAGAAATCACAAATAAGATAATTTTAATCCCTATATCCAAGGAGCTTACATTATACTAGAGGAGACCAAGAAAATGTAAGAAACACATATATAAAATAATTAGAAGTGGTGGTAGATGCTATGAAAAGAACAATAGCAAAAGAGATTTTAATGGATAATAATAAGGTGAATTATTTGACATTATGGACATGAACAGAATTCTGTGGAGAGTTAACATTTAAATTAAGACATGGAGGATGAGAAAAAGTTAATTTGAAAATAGTGGAGAAAATATTTCAGGCAGGCTCACTTAGTAAGAAGAGGAAAAGTGACACCAGAAGAGGTTGGAGAGATAGACAGGAACTAAATAATGTTGAACTCTAAATTATCTTAATGATTTTGTATTTCATGTAGAGACAGAACTCATTGACATATTTGAAGAAGGCAGTGGGCATACTCTCATTTAGGTTTCAAGATCATTTTCTCTGAGTGGACAATAGAAGCCAAATGAGATACTCCAAATAAGTCAAGATAGGTGCCTAAACTAGAGCAGGAGTCAGTAGTGGTAGAAAAAAGTAAATTAAGTGAAAGCTCGATTTTCAAGACAGAGTTAGCAGGATAGTGGATTAGTAATATTTATAGATCAAGAAGAAAGGAAAATGTGATACAAAAACAGATGAATTTGGGTTTCCTTAAAAAATAAAAAAGAAATTATAATTGCTGCTTACCTCTTTCATGTCTTCATAGAATAGGTAAAGGATATGATAATCATTCGTCTTCTCCCACCAGCCCTTCACATGGTCATACCAAGAACCATAAGCCACTAAATTGAAGGATATAATCTTTGGAAAATTAAAACTATTTACATAAAGAATTGTTAAATATTCATCCAAGTCATCGTTATCACCACAAACACACTTATTAGTTCAAGAAAGAGGGATGGTAGGATAATTTCCCCTGTTCTCACTGAATTTGCAATCTACCTGGAAAGGAGTGGCAGGGGAGTTCATAGAAGGAGAAAGGGAGAGAAAATCATAGGGAAGGAGAGTTAAGGAAGGGCTGCCGAGGAAGAGTATATTTGGATCTAAGAAAAACTGGGTTTTAACAATGATAAAATGAGTAGACATTCTATGGGCAGAGAATGGTCCAGGTAGCAGCAGGAGTAAAAATTTGCAAGATATCATTGAGATGTTCTTGCCTTGAAAAGAGAGTTTTTATAGAAGAATGTTTATATGAGAACTTTAAGTAGAGCTACTACTATTGGCATAAATATGTTTCCCTGAAAGAGAGAATGCAGAGGTAGAGAAACAGAGCCTTGAGGATAAAATCTTTACCCAAGAATTTTCAGTTTATATAATAAAAATAAGGGAATGATAGAGAAAAGAGAGTCCAAGAAATACATGTAAAATCAAAACAATAAAATGGATGCACAGCAAGAGAAGAAACCAGTTGCCACTAATACTAATGAGATAATAAGACTAAGAACTGAAATAGCTGTGCTACCTATTCCCCAAAAGTTCTGAAAGGGAAGAGACAACTATGTATTCTGCTTCCTCTATAGTCTTCCTAAAACAGTAGAGTGCTGGGCACATATTAGGTTTATAATAAACACAGATTTACATTTGACCTATCTCCTTGAAAAAAGACTTTTCACTATAGAACTCTTTGATTAAAATAAGAGTTGAACCCACCCTTCCCAGTCATGAATTTATCTAGGAACTCCTCCCAGGTGCCAGGCTCTGGGTATAATTTTGCCATCTGGTAGAAATAATAGTAAAACACAGCCACATCCTTAGCATTTCATGCCACATAGACCATCTGTGGGGAGATATGGGAAATCATCATTTCATTTATTTATTTAACAGTTTGTAAACTTTTGCTTATCTTGCAAGAATGCTTATTTTCTCTTTTCTATTTCCTGATCTCAGCATTTATGTGTATATCCTGACATAGAGTATTCACAACTATATATTGTTTTAACATAAAGGCTTGCACTTTCAGACCCTGTTTCTCTTTAGCCTTTGAAAAGAACATCTCTTAAAACAGAAAAATGAGTATCATGAGAATTACAGCAAATATTAAATTAACATTGTTCTTAAATTTAAAATATTTTTCTGTGTCACTTATTAAACATATAAAAAGAAACATAAAAGTTACAAAACATAAAAAGATAGTAAACATTTTTTATTATTTTTTTCATTTTTTCACTATTACTTTTTTTTAGAAAGAGAGAGAATGCACACGTGCGTGAGGTGGGGGGAGGGACTGAGAGAGAGGGAAAGAGAGAATCTTAAGCAGGTTCCAAGCTCAATGCACAGCCCAATGTGGGGCTCTATCTCACAGTCCTGAGATCATGACCTGAGCTGAAATCAAGAGCTGGATGCTTAACCAACTGAGCCGCGCAGACGCCTCTAAAGGAAAATTTTTAAAGCTGAAAAAATGTCCTATTTTTAATTGAAAATAAATTATTATTCAGGTACATTTAATCAATAAGGATTAAACATTCTTCATTCTGCTCACGATCACATAACAATCGTTGCTGTTTATAAGATTTGGTGTGAGATTAAAATTTATTTTATGTATAGAGCCCTAAAGATTGCTTAGAAGCAGAAATTTTGAGCATATTTTCCAATAGAAATGACATTGTTATGTCTCAGTGGTAATTAGGTTTTCAGGCAAGTCCACTGAAATCCATTAAGCTTACTTCTCCCCTAAAGTACATCTAATAATACTGAGGCCCCACCCACCCAGGCAGTAAATAAATCCCTAAGGGAAAATGCATTCAGGAAGAAATCTCCTTTCCTCTAATTAGAAACAGCTTTCTTCTTCTCTTCCAATTGATGGGAAAAGGAAATGGGAAGTTTTATATCCCCAAGCCACTGATAGTAGTTCTCATATTCTGGGATAAGAAGGGAGTGGGTGGAAAGAGGTTTTTTGAAAGACTGAGTATAGAGCTCTAAGAGTTGAGACAGTTCTTGAGATAAACATTTCCAATAACTTCTTATTTCAATATCAAGAGACTATGGTAATGAGCCAACTGTTTTCCTCTATCATCATCACCTCTAAGTTCTTTAGTGAGGACTATTTCCACTTACTTCAGTGTAGATAGAACGTACATTGAAGTACTGTTTTAATTACTGACAACTAGCAACCACCCAACTATCTATTAATAGTACTGTGGGTAAGTTGGTTGTGAAATATTCACATAGACCTAATGGAATTCCTTATATCAGTGATTCTCAAATAGTAGCATGACTCAAATTCACCTGGAGGTTTTATTAAAACTCAGATTTCTGGACCTCATCCCCATAATCTTTGATTCAGTAGGTCTGAATTGGGCCTAAGATTTGCTTCTCTCACATGGCTACTTTTGCTCAGGGTACCACATTTTGTGATCCACAGGCTACATTAAAGAAACCAAAACAAAAACAAGGTGACAGCATGATAAGAATTGATCTCATAAATATTGTGTTAAATGAAGTAAGTTAAATATTCAAGATTATATACTTTCTTATTGCAGACAAACTAATAATAAAAACATTCAGGATAGTGGTTATCTTTGAAAATAGGGATTGCTGCCCAGAGTGCAAAGAAACAGAGCTTTTGGGGTGCTGGTAATGTTCAATTTCTTGATCTGGGTGCTGGTTTCATGGGAATGCTCATTTTGTAAAAATTCATCAAGCTGTATGCCTAAGATTGATGTACTTTTCTCCATATATGTTATACTTGAATTAAAATGGTTATTTTAAAAAGAAGCCTAAAATGAACCCATATATATAATATAAAATATATATAATTATAAATCTATATTTGTAATTTCATGAAGAAGCAGTTCTAGCATTATTTAAATATTTAGATATGAAATATTTAAAAGTGGATACTGAGTAAAGGGATTTAGACAGAAAGACAGGCATTTTAGAGAACAGATTACCTGAGAGATTCTCAGTGCTTGGGAACTAAGTCTATACCTATATATCTATAACACTGGTGTCCATTGGTGTTATTTCAACCCTTGGATATAGGGACCACGTTATTATTTTCGCAATGATTTACCCAGGGGTTGTAATATCTCATTGTAATTTCTGAATGATGAATAAAAGAAATTTCAACACAAATAAGGATTTTTTTTCTTTAAATGTTGCTGCCTTGCAGGTATTTTCCCAAAATGAAGAAGGGAGACGTTGAACAGGTAGGTGTGTTTTCACTAATCAAGGAGGCTGCATTTTTTTCAACTCCTCCACACCTACAAGCACAAAAGCTAATCTGTATTATAAATGTGGAATCATAAAGGTCAATTACAATAAACTCTAAGACTTTGTAAACATTAACCCCACTCTATGTCTTGAAATAACTATATATAGCTTCAGATACATATAAAATCTACCATGAGATCAAAAATGATAAATTCTTGGGACACCTGGGTGGCTCAGTCGGTCAAGCGTCTGCCTTCAGCTCGGGTCATGATCCCAGGGTCCTGGGATGGAGTCCTGTGTTGGGCTCCCTGCTCAGCAGGGAGCCTGCTTCTCCCTCTGCCTCTCCCCCTGCCTGTACTCGCTCTCTCTCTCTGACAAATAAATAAATAAAATCTTTAAAAAAATGATAAATTCTTGTTAGTGATGCTGTTTTATTTCCTATGTAGAACAGACAATAAGTGTCTGTAAAATCTTCAGATATAACACCTTGCTGAGGCAGAAACAACAATAGGCCAATGTCAAGACATCCAAATTTTTCCTTCATTTATCTTTCTTTTTCTCATTTACTATATGGGGAAGTTGAACTGGAAGATTTCAAAATCCCTTTCCAGCTTTCTTATATTCAAATTATAAGATCAATTAAGCCATGAAGCTCATAATTAATTTTTAAAATTTTAATAATGCACGACCATCCATAATTCTGTTTCTTGAGTCTGTGAACATCAGTTAACAAGCAGTAGGCATGATTTTATATTGGATCAAACTCTGAATTTTTTGAATATAATGATCATACATTTAAATGTTGAAGACTTCCATCTGTGCAATTAAGAAAAAATATATACTTGGGGCACCTGGGTGGCTCAGTCATTAAGCATCTGCTTTCGGCTCAGATCATGATCCCAGGGTCCTGGGATCGAGCCCCACATTGGGCTCCCTGCTCTGCAGGAAGCCTGCTTCTCCCTCTCCCACTCCCCCTGCTGTGTTCCCTCTCTCACTGTCTCTCTCTCTCTCTGTCAAATAAATAAATAAAATCTTTAAAAAAAAAAGAAAAAATATATACTCATCCAAATCTCCTCTTATGTTGATATTATGTTTGGGTGCAAGAGAAGTATAATATGGTTATTAGTAAAACCAGATTCTTACTCTTCTATTATAGACACTTAGGATTCAACTGTCCAAGCTCTGTCTATAGCAATTCTATCATGATTCCTTGAAACACCACAAAATGATAACGGGATTTATTCTTATGGTAAAAAGGAACATTCAGGGAAAATACCATTCTGGAGTCCAGGAACAATCATTTCCATGAACGGCACTTGTTTGTATATTGCATCCTGCTTACATTTCTCCACATCCCCATTATTATAGATCAAATCCAATATTTCACTGACCCAGGTTGTTCCTAAGGGGAAAAAAATGGAACAACTATAAACTTTTCTGTCAAAAAGGGTATAAGAGGGTCAATATAGGTAGAGAAGTTGTATAATAACAAAAACAAAAAGGTGCTCTTCCTTTCCATCCCCCTTTTCTCTTCCCACTTTTCTAAGGAAACATCCTTATCTACCTTGAACATATACATATGTGTTGTGTGTGAAAGTGGGAGTAAATCTGATTAAAATAATCATAAAGTAAGTCATAAAAGAGAGGTAAAACGTGGGTAATTTAAGAGACAGTGTGTAAGTCATGTATCAAACCCTCCTGAATGGAATGCAGAGGGAAGCAGACAATTTCAAGGAGTCTAACTAGCAGTTTGTAGAGTTTTTATTAATATCAAAAATATGATTAGGCTTTGGGACTGAAGAGTACTTGAGGCAAAAACATTCGGTGGAGGTCTGAAGAAAGGGTACAAAGAGAACTTTGTGATTGTATCTGTGGTGAGTAGGTGCTACTCACAAACAAGAGAACATAGATCCTATGTGAGCAGAGAAGATGGAGTCGCTCTGGTCTTTATGAGATTGTGTCTCATTTGTCTTGAGAAATGGAACTAAAGTACAGATGGTCCCTTACTTATAATGGTTCAACTTACTATTTTTCGATTTTATGATGGTGTGAAACTCATAGGCGTTCAGTAGAAACTGAACTTCAAATTCAAAATTTTGATCTAGTGATAAGCAATATGAAGCTTTCTCTCATGATGCTAGGCAGCGGCAGCAAGAGGCAGCTCCCAGTCAGCCAGGCAATAATGAAGATAAACAACTGGTACACTTACAACCAGTCTGTACCCACACAACCATTCTGTTTTTCACTTATGGTACAGTATTCAATAGATTGCATGAGATATTCAGCACTTACTATAAAATAGGATTTACATTAATTTTGTACAATTGCAGGCTAGTATAAGTATGCTGAGCACATTTAAGGTAGGCTACGCTAAGCTATGGTGTTCAGTATTAAATACATTTTCAACTTATGATGAGTTTATAGGGAGGTAACATCATCATAAGTCTGTATATAAGGATATGGCCTATTTAACTGTCTACAGTATTCAATGATCAGGTTATTGAGGCTGGGCTGAAAAAGCAATTATAATGATAGAAGAAAAATGTCTTCTTAACTATTCCTATCCCTTTCCTCTTTATCAAACATGTAATGAATGATAGTCTCTAAATTGAATACTCATGGGTGGAAACTAAAAAATTAAATTAGTAATTAATCTATGCACTGCATAGATTTTGGCCAATGACCTGCACAAGGATGTACCTCTGGATTGGTTCCATAAATTAGAGTACTTTAGGCCTCCTTTCTTGTGGACAATTCTTCCTACTTTTCATCCCTAAATCATGTATATGAGACTGTCTTCCTCATCCCTCTAACACAGACAATTACAGTGCTAAGAAAAAGGTGAGTCAAATTAATACTATCCTTGAAGATTTTGGTGCCTCATCTGGCTTAGGCTTAAGCAGTGATTCATGGGGAAAAAAGAGACTTAAGTTCCAAAGTACAACAGAACATATTTCGTTTCCTGTCAGTGAATGGTTGAAGTGATGGCCACTGAAATCTGATGGAAAGAAATACCATTTAGCTATGCTTCGAATTGGAAATGTTTATTTTCCATAATTTTTGGGAAAAAAAAAAACAACCCACGTGATTTACCATATATATGGAGCAAGTCAGCTTAGATCTTTACAACAAAATTCACAGGAAACTAATACATTAATAACTTTAAGACATGTTCTTAACAGTTTGTAAAGAGAAAAAAATCAAAGAAAACAATGACCAAGAGTATATAATTACTTTATGTGTAGCCACCGAGCCACCTAGCTTTTATTGTATCAGAAGAAATCCAGCTTCAAAGAGCACTTTCATAAATAAACTATTTGTAAAATTGTACCTTCCAAAGATGATCTTAATGGTTTTCTGCTTGTGAACATATTTTTTAAAATAGCAAAAACAAAAAGAGCATATATATTTTCTAAAACTGTCCAACATTTTTTTTTCTTTTAAAGATTTTATTTATTTATTTGACAGAGAGAGTGAGAGAGCACAAGCAGGGGGTACAGCAGAGTGAGAGGGAGAGGCAGTCTCCCCGCCAAGCAGGGAGCCCAGTCCCAGGACCCTGGGATCATGACCTGAGCCTAAGGCAGATGCTTATCCATCTGAGCCACCCAGACGCCCCTGCCCTACCTTTTATAAACTTGTATCTCAACAAGGAGATGCAGAATAGTTTTGGTTCCAAACAATTTGGGATTGGTGAATTGCTCATAGAGCAATGTATGTAGTAAGAAAAGAAAGAAAAAAATAAGCTTTTGCCAAAACAAGCTTGTTTTCTATTACTTCAAAGGTCTGTATTGTACATTTGTTTATTTCCTGAGAGGATCTCTTTGTTTTCATACAATGTTATAATCTTGACATTAGAATCTCCAAAAATTTAGATGTTTCCTCCCAGGCTTTGTTACATATCCCTATGAAGTAATTTCAATATTTATCATATAAAAAGATTAGTACTTATTAAAAACTTCTAGTCCTCAAGTCTTTTAAGAAATTAAGCAGAAATATAAAGGAAAGTTGACTTTAGGGAATTTAACAATTGGAATAGTTGATTGATTATGGGCTCAAGTTAATTAAGTGGATAAAAGGCAAGAGAAAACCCATTCTCTGATATCTCCCTTTACCTCTGTCACTGAGTAAATTGAAAGACTCTGTCATAAAAAGGTCTGAAGAAATTAAAATTATTGATTCTTATTGAGGCATCTTAACTCCTTTCCGAGATCATATACTGAGGTCAGCAGCTATTTAACTTTATAACAAAATATTTCTAAATGCATTTATAAAGTGTAGAAAATAATAAAATATTAATGTTTTACACAGTATATTTAAAATACAATGAAAGGGGCGCCTGGGGGGCTCAGTCAGTTAAGTGTCTGCCTTCACTCAGGTCATGATCCCAGGGTCCTGGGATGCAGGCCCACATAAGGGCTCCCTGGTCAGTGGGGAATCTGTTTCTCCTTCTCTCTCTGCCCCTCTCCCCTGCCCGTGCTCTCTCTCTCTCTCAAATAAATAAAATCTTTAAAAAATAAAAATAAATTGATATTTTATTAAATAAATTAGTATTTCATTACTATAGATCCAACAGCACTAGATCACCTTCCTGTGCATTATGAATCAGTGGAAGAAGAAAGAGTATAAAAACTAATAAGGTCTTGCAGGATTTATTTCATATATACTCTTTATATGTTAAGTAGCAACACTTTATATTGGTATATTGAATTGTATACAATAAAGATTGCTAGGGAGGAGGAGCAAGATGGTGGAGTAGTAGGAGACCTAAATTTCGTCTAGTCCCAGGAATTCAGCTAGATAGTTATCAAACCATTCTGAACACCTATGAACTCAACAGGAGATCAAAGAAAAGAATAGCAGCAACTCTCTGAACAGAAAAGCGGCCACTTTATGGAAGGTAGGACGTGCAGAGAGGTGAATCCAAGGCCATATTGGGAAGATAGATGGCGGGGGGAGGGGGCCTCCGTCAGCTGCTCCCGGCAAGTGATAGAGCAGTGGAGCACAAAATCAGAAATTTTAGAAGTCTGCTCTGCTGAGGGACATCACTCCAGTGGCTAAGCGGGGGGCTGGAACCCTCACTGGGACAGTGTGGTCTCAGGACCCTCGGGGTCACAGAAAGGCCAGGGGTGCCTGAGTGGGGCAGAGCTCCCAGGTATCAGAGCAGGGAAGCTGGCTGCAGAGACAGAGTCAAGGAGTGGGCTCTCAGCTCGAGGTTGCCATAAACCATGATCCGCGGCACAGTCGGGCCACTGCTCTTCCAGGAGGGACCCGACAAGAGGCAGATCCGAGGAGACTCCACTTCCTCCCCAAGGAGGAGCGGCACGGGAGCACACCACAGGGATCTGCTGAGTTTGGAGACTCCAAATGGGGTCGTGTGCCAGAGATAGAAACGCTGGTCACAGGCCAGGTGAGCAGGGAGTGTGGCCAGAGACTGGGGAGAAAGGAGTGATTGACTGCTTTTCTCTGGGGGCTCACTGAGGAGTGGGGCCCTGAGCTCTCGTCTCCTCCGGGGCAGATTGGGAGGCTGCCATTTTCACACTTGTGCTCCAAAGCTGTTCGGAATGCTTTCAGGGAACAAAATTTCCCAAGAGCAAACCCAAGCAGATTATTTAGCCTGGACTGGCAAGGGGTGGGCAATTCTGCCTCTGGCAAAGACATTTGAGAACCACTGCAACAGGGCCCTCCCCCAGAAGATCAGCAAGAATAGCCAGCCAAGACCAAGTTTACCAATCAATGAGAATGACAAAACCCCAGTGCTAGGGGAAAACAGCACATAGTCTTTAGTCTTTCAAAGTTAATTTTCTAAAATTTTCTTTATTTTTTCTTTGTCTATTTTTTTTAGTTGAATTTTTCTTCTTTCCTTTTTCAACCAACATCTTACAATTCCTCTTTCAAAATCTTTTTTAATTTTCATTTTTACAATCATATTCTATCAACCTTATTTTTTGTGTATATATATATATATATAAGTTGTTCTTTCTTTAAAATTTTGGGATACAGTTTCTTCTAAAGGACCAAAATATACCCTAAATCTAGTATGACGTTGTCCTAGTTTCCTGCCTGATCACATTCTTTTTTTTTTTAATTTTTAATTTTAATTTTTACATTTTTTTCATTCTTTTTTCAACTAACTTCTTATGAATTCCTTTTTTAAAATCTTTTTTAATTTTCATCTTTACAGTCATATTCCATCCCTTCATCATATTTACCCTTATTTTTGTATATATATAATTTTTCTTTCTTTAAAATTTTGGGAGGCAATTTCTCATAACAGACAAAAATACACCCAAAATCTAGTGTGTGGCTCTGTTATATTCACCAGTCTGATTATATATTTTTTTTCTCCCTTCCTTTTCCCCCTGGTTTTGGGTCTCTTCTGATTCGTTTAGTGTATATTTTTCT